TAGCTGTTGAATGAATAATTAAAGGTATATTGCATTCTACAAAGAGAAGATACAGAGCATGCGGAAGGATATAGCAAGGGACTTCATCTAGTCTGGGAGGGCAAAGAGGAAGTAATGTTTAAACCATGACCTGGAGGACAAACAGAAGACATTCCTGGTGATGGTAGTAGTATCTTTCCCTTGGAGCCATTCATTATCCTGAGTCCATTCAGGACTACCTTCATGTTCCTTGCCTTCTCTGCCTTTTGACTTCCATGTTAAATAATGATAACCACAGAACAGCGGCGCAGCTGGACTTGGGAAGTGAGGTCGCAGGTGGTGAGTGGTCTCAGGATGTTTATAGGTCATTGGTAGCCGCCTCTCAGGCTCCATCACATGCTTAGTCTTTTGCAGGGTCCTCTCCATTTCCATGGAGTTCTGGTGTGGCGCTGTGGGCTAATGTGGCAGACTGCAAAGTTGTTTGAACTGCAAGGTCAGTGGTTCAAGCTCACCAGCTGCTCCTTGGAAACCCTATACAGGGGTGCTATGGGTCGGAATAGATTGGATGGCACTTAACAACAACAACTTCATTTCCACCCTCTCACCTTGTAGTTGTGCTGTGGGTTAATGCACTGGACTGCAAGTCATCGGTTCAAGCTCACCAGCCACTCCCTGAAAACCCAACACAGCACTTAATAACCTTGTAGCTGCAAAAGCAAAACTTCTCAGCCCTTGCAAGAGGCTTTGTTCATTATGTTGAGGTGGGAGTAGGAATACTAGGAAAGATTTCTGGGTTTAAATCTTTGCTTCACCAGTTAAGGATCTTTGTGATGTTAAATAACATCTTTAAGTGCTCTTAATCTCAGTCTTTTTTGTCCATAAAAATGATGCATTCAACTGTAAATTTTATAATTGCTTTGAGGCAAGTTCTAGCACTTCATTGCATTAAAAACCCAAACAAAGACCAATTAAAAAACAAAAACTTGGTGCTTCAACTTCCTGAAACGGTGTTGTTAGGTGCCACTGAGTCCATTTTTGACAAATAAGGACTTCAGGTAACAGCTTAGTACTACCCCATAGGGTTTTCTTGGCTGTAATCTTTACTGGAATAGGTTGCCAGATCTTTCTTCTGTGAAGCCACTGTGTGAGTTTGAACCACAAAGCCTTTGATTAGTAGTCAAATGTTTAGTCAATCCTTTTAGCCTTACAGCCTTAAATTATTATTTCACTATAAACCAAGGAACACTATAGGATCAGCACTGGTCTGCAAACCACAAGGCCGGCAGTTCAAACTCACCAGTTACTCCTTCAAAACCCTATATGATATGAGTTGGAACTGACTCGACACCAGCACTTAAAACAACAACATAAATCAAGGAATCCTGGTGTGTTGTTATAGGATGAGCATAAGGTCAATTTGAACCTCAATGTTGGCAGTTTAAACTCACCAGCTGCTCCTCGGAAACCCTATACAAGGTCAGTATGAGTCGGAACCAACTCAATGGTACTTAACAACTTAGCAACAAAAAAACCAGATGCTAGAAAAACTGCAAGAAGTCCTGGTGTGGCGCTATGGGAGAAGGCATTGAACCTTTGAATCACAACGTCAGCGGTTCAAACTCACCAGACGCTCCTTGGAAACCCCACACAGGGTCGCTATAAGTCAGAACCAACTCGATAACCCTTAACAAGAACAACAACAGACAAACTGCAACACATATTGCAAACTGCATAGCTTAAGTCAGAAGAAAATAGGGGAATCACCAAGGACCCAACAATCAAAACAAGTTTTTAAAAAATTCAAATTAAGAGCTGAAAGCAGACAAATACACAAATACAAATGATTTCAAGACAGAGTTTTGAGTATATATAGGAATTGTTGTTGTTGTTAAATGCCATCGAGTCGGGTCCGACCCATAGCGACCCTGTACAGGGTTTCCGAGGGTGTAAATCTTTACGGGAGTAGAAAGCCTCATCTTTCTCCCGCGGAGCGGCTGGTAGTTTCAAACCGCCGACCTTAAGGTTCGCAGCCTGATTCGTAACCACTACGCTACCAGAGGAATAGGCAGGAGAAAATAGGCAGTGGTCAGACTACACTCTCATCATTGGGCCCAGACCCTAGAAGGTACTTCTCAATCTGGCTGTTGCTCCACTAGGTCACCCTGGGACAGTCATTCTGCTCTTTGTGGCCTTGCGCCTTTCTAAGCGGCCTCAGTTTTCTTTTTGTATCCATGCATATGTATTTAGTATGTGGACTTTCACCCCAATCCAGTCTTTTCATTGAAAAATAAAAAAGACAAGAGCGAGTTTACAGAAAAAATTCATCTTCTGAAAAGAGCTAACAGGGAACGCTCCTATCTTTAGTGATTCCCAGTGAAAGGAAAGACTGGCCGAGGTAAACACAGGTTTGCCCTCATGTGAATCTGGACTCCAATTTATACACTATGTGTACTCTTAGGCCATCCAGGCTGAGAAACTAAGCTGAAATTTCCCAGACTGGTAGGTTCCTGGGCTCTTGGCAAACATTAAGGAAATGCCCTCTGGAAGAATGAGTCTTAAAGACAGATACCTCAGCATTCCACTCTTTAATCAGAGCATACGATGTGAATACCTCCACCTTTCCCTAGGGCTGGGCACTGTGGGGGTGGGGGCGGAGCAATGTACACATACATTTTAATAATTTTTTAAAATACATGTATTGAAACATCTGTAAGACACAGGCTGAACAGTTATGTCATTGCAAAAATTCCACATAAAAAAGGACATCCAAATCAACAACCAAACAGAAAAATGTGTTGTTGTTAAGTGCCATCAAGTGGATTCCGACTCATAGTGAACCTGTATAGGGTTTCCAAGGAGCAGCTGGTGAGCTTGAACCACTGACCTTGCAGTTCAAATGGCTTTGCAGTCTGGTGCATTAACTCACAGCTCCACGTAAAGGTTAATATAAACAATTCATGGAAAGGCATGGCTAGTAAGGATTTGAAAACGTGCAGTCTTACTAATACTTTTTAAATGTGCAATATAAAATGTGCAATATAAAATGTGCAGATTCATTGAGTTCCACTTGTAAATATTATTTTGATGTGAAGACTCATTTGCAGGGGGGGCACTAGTAAATTAGCAAATCTTTGTATGCACATGTAGTTTACATAGACTCCAGCAACTCTGTGTAGGGTTTCCAAGGCTGTAAATCTTTATGGGAGCAGAAAGTCTCATTTTTCTCCTGCGTATCAGCTGGCAAATTCTTAACTGCTGACCTGTGGGTTAACAGCCAAGTGTGCAATCTACTGCACCACCAGATTTTTGGTTTGTTGTTGTTAAGTGCTGTCGAGTCGGTTTTGACCCCTAGCAACCCTGTACAGGGTTTCCGAGGCTGTAAATCTTTACGGGAGCAGAACGCCTCATCTTTCTCTCGCGGAGCGGCTGGTAGTTTTGAACTGCTGGCCTTAAGGTTCGCAGCCTGATTCGTAACCACTACACTACCAGATTTTTGGTATTTGGTTGTTAAGTGTTGTTGAGTTGGTTCCAACTCCTTGGGACCCTGTATAGGATTTCCGAGGAGCAGCAGATGAGTTTCAACTGCTAACCTTGGGGTTCTCAGTCCACTGCTGATCCTACAGTGCCACAGTTAGAAAAAAAAAATGTATATACCTTTTCCAGATGCTTATTTATTTGTTTGTTTCTCTAGGATATTAAAATCTTCTTACAATCTTTTCATTTGTTTAAGAGTATTTTTTTTTTTTTTTGTAATTGGTTCATATCTTTTGTTCATTTTTCTATAGGATTTTTTAGTCCTTTGTAACCTCAGTTTTTAAAAAAGCTTTCTATAAATTTGGTATATCAGCTCTTTATCTGTGATATCTGTTAGGAATATTTTCTCCCAGTTTTTCGTTTGTCTTTTGACTTTGGTTATGGTGTTTTTTGTTTCATTTTTGCCATGCAAAAGGTTTTATTTTGTTTTATAGTTATATAGTCAAATGTATCCATCTTTTCTTTTATTACCTCTCAGTTTGAGGACATTGTTTCTTAAATCCCCTCTATAGATATTTCAAGGAGTCCTGGTAGTGCAGTGGGGTTATGAATTGGGCTGCTTACAAAGGTCAGCAGTTCTAATCTACCAGATGGTCCACAAGAGAAAGATGAAACTTTCTGCTCCTGTAAAGATTTATCACCTTGGAAATCCTATACAGGGTGGCTATGAGTTGTAACTGACTCCAAGGCATACAACCACCACCACAGAGATCTCTCAATCAATGTAATTTTTACCTTCTTTGTGCATCCCCCACTTTCTAGAACAAAAGCTGAAGTTAGCTTAATCTAGAGAATCTCTCTTTCTTCTAACACCCTCCTGTGGCCCCGGTTCATTCTGCTATATTTTATCCTTCGTCTACCTCATGTTTCATATATCTTCTGAATAAAGGAATTCATAATTCATGTGCTGTTATGACCTTAGAGAACAGGCACTGAACTTCAGACTTGATAGCTGCTTTCCCTGCAGGTTCTTGATATAGTCCAGTGGGTCCTGAGAGGTAGTCAGAGGCAGAAGTGTGTACCCCTCTGCTCACCTCATAATTTTCTCCTCTCTGCAGCTCTACAACTCTTGGTGGCACGTAGGTTGGGCCAGATTCACCTTGTTCTATAGAAGAAGAGGTCTACTTTAGGCACTACTACATTGGCGAATGGAAGCACATTGAGCAAGATCAAATAAACCTACTCTCTTATTTCTTCTTACTCTACTTCAAGGGATTTGAGCAAGGTGTAAATAAAGTAGCTGGCATGGCCTGTGTTTCTTTACCATCTTGTGGGAAATCATGAAATCTCCTACCCAGAGGTGTTGAGACATCTCCTTTCCTCAGTCACCTGATTCTTACCTCTGTTCCCTTTGCTCTGTTGATCACCAGATCACCTGGAGCCTCAGTAGGCTAACTTGCATGGGGGTGGGGGTGGGAATTGGAAAGGGATGGGTGTGGCTTAGACGTGTGGCCTCAGACTGGGGTCTGACAGCACTGGCTCCATCACAGTGATGTCGGACGGCAGCGATGGAGATGCGTTGTGTGTTACAGAAGAGGAACTGGCTGGTGAAGACGAGGACATGTCGTCCTTCCCGTGCACGCAGGAGGGTAAGAACTGTGGGGAGCTTCCCTCTGCCTTCTGATCTCCTTTCCTCCCCACCCCCTGCTGCAGCGAGGTTGTGATGTGTTGTCTATATGTCACTTCAGAAACTGGACTATCCTTTCCCCACTACTTCCTGGAGGGTAAAGCAACAGAGTTGGGTGGTCTTGGGTTTTACAGTAGACTGATGAAGTCCAAGCTAGACATAGTGAAAGTGACCTCTGCCTTCTCCCCACACCTCTTTTAGCTGGTCCAAAAATGTTCCCTTCATCATATCCCATGCCACTCAACTGGCCCATCTTTTTCCTCAGGCCCTCAGAGCTCAGGTTGGCATTGAGTTAATCTGAGAAACAAATGCCACCTGAGCCATTATTTAGAGTAGGGATTTTCAGTATAGACTAGGGCTGCCATTGCCAACAAAGGTATGGTTGCACATTGTAATCACTTGGGGAGATTAAAAAAAATAAAAAGTGGTGCCCAGTCCCACTTTGAAGAAATTTTTATTTAATTCCATCTGGAGTGTGAGCTCAGTATCAGGATTTCTAAATGCTCCCAAGCAAGGAGTCCTGGTGTGGCATATCAGGATAATGCACTAGATCACAAGGTCAGTTTGAACTGCAAGGTCAGGTCAGTATTTCAAACCCACCAGCTGCTCCTCAGAAACCCTATACAGGGTCGCTATGAGTAGAACTAATGGCACTTCACAACAACAATTTGCAGTCAGATTTGGGCTAGGCTTAGGGATTTCACAGCTAGAGGCATCCTTGCATTCCTGGAGTCTACCTGCTGGGTGTTGATCACCTACCGGAGTAGCCAAGTACACCTGGCTTTCACCTTCCTCCATACTAAGGACACAACTGCTGGATGGTAGCTACTCATTTCATTTCCAGGGGAACTACTAGCTGTCTGCACAATTTGAGAACTCAGTGATCCATTTTCCTGATTTGCCTAGGACTGAGGGGTTCCCATGATAGAAAATCTATAGTGCTAATACCCAGAAAGTCCAGAGTAAACTAGAACAAGGTGTTCACCTAAGGTATAACGAGGTTGGTTACCCTGTTGGGTGAATTATAACCAGTTGCCGTCAAGTTGTTTCCGACTCATGGTGACTTTATTCATGTCCGAGAACTGTGCTTCATAGAGGTTTCAATGACTGATTTGTTGGAAGTAGAGGCTGCTCTGGGTAGACTGGAACTTCCGACTTTTCAGTTAGTTGTTGTTGTTAAGTGCCATTGAGTCGGTTCTGACCCATAGCGACCCTGAACAAGGTTTCTGAGGCTGTAAATCTTTATAGGAGCAGAAAGCCTCATCTTCCACCCGCCAAGCAGCTAGTAGTTTCGAACTGCTGGCTTGCGGTTCACAGCCCGATTCGTAACCACTACGCTACCAGAGCTCCTTCCAACACCATTAGAGAGATGTTAGCAGGTGAACACATTATAGGTAGGACCAGTCCTCACACTGTGGCTGGATGATGATACCATATATGGAGAATGGTAGGGACATGGGTAGGTGGCGTTGTTTATTGAAGCCCCTGACTATGCTAGTCTTTGGAAGCTCCAGAACCTAGAGAAAGGAATTGAGACCAAGGGTTGAGAACAACTCCCCCTTCTTTGCCTCGTGCAAAATGTGATGCAAGAGACAGGCCAGCACAGGAGCATAAAACTGATGACCCTTTAGCTGTAGACTCAGTCACTGACCTAACCCCCTTGCCTCCCTTTGTCCTCTGACAGGCCGGCTGGGACCTCGATGCAGCCGCTGCCAGAGGAATCTATCCTTACACACATCTGTGCGGATCCTTTACCTCTTCCTGGCCCTGCTCCTGGTGGCTGTGGCTGTACTGGCTTCCCTGGGTGAGTGTGACTTCCGGTAGTATCTCACTGGTCCAGGCAGTATTCATCACACCAGGCTACAGGGGAGTTTCTGGTAAGGACACCAAAACACCTGCAAAGGCAACCTCAGGCATCCTCAGAACCAGCTTCTTTCTGCCTAGGGAATTTTAGTGTCTAATCCAAGCTACAAAGATTGGCTTCTAAATTCTGGCCAATAAATTAGCTGTGCATCCTTGAGCAAGACACTTTCCCTCCAAGGAATCCTATTTTCCCATTAATAAAATGATGTTGTTACGTGCTTTCGAGTCAGTTCTGACCCATAGCGACTCTGTATAGAGTTTTCGAGGAGAGGCTGGTGAGCTTGAACCACCAACATTGCAGTTCAAATGAGTTTGCAGTCCAGATAAAATTATAGCATATAAAAAATCATGGGTTCTCAATTTCAGTTGCACATAAGATTCATTAGCTTTAAAAAATACTGATGCCTAATCCCACCCCAGATTAATATAATTATAATCTGTATCTTTGGGGGTGGAGCCTGTTGTTGATGATGTTAAGTGCCGTCAAGCTAGTACCGACTCCTAATGACCCTGTATAGGATTTCCAAAGAGCAGCTGATGGGTTTGAACCGTCAACTTTGAGGTTCAAACTGATCTTGCAGTCCACTGTTTATCCTACAGTGCCACACCAGGACTCCAGGGGTAGAGCCTAGGATCAGTATTTCAAAGATGATTCTGTTGTACAGTATGTGATTAAAATCCCTGAATCAAGTGATTTCTAAGTCTATGTGGGTGATTCTCAAAGTGTGGTTAGAGGTCTGCCTACATCAAGATCACCTCCAGTACTTGTTAAAATGAAGACTCCTGGGCCAAATCTAGGCTGACTGAATCAGAGTCCTACAGGTAAGGTCCAGGGATTTGAAGTTTGGTAATTTGGCATTGTATAATAAGCACTGAACTGCTAACCTCAAGGTCAACAGTTCAACCCCCCCAGCTGCTCCTCAGAAACCCTATCCAGGTCACTATAAGTCAGAACTGACTTGACAGCACTTCACGACAACAACAACAGAAACTACAGTTTGTATGAATATGGTAACTGACCCAGGTGATGACATACAGCCAGATTCTACCTTCTAGAGGCTCTTTCTGGTAAACTAATTAAAGCAATGTGACGTCTCATTATTCTCATTCCATTTGTAGCTTCAAATGTTGGAAACCTAGACTTCCTTACTAAATGAAGGCAGTCAGTGTGCTCCAATCTACTAGGTAATAGGAGTCCTGGTATGGCACCAGACTGCAAAGCCATTTGAACTGCAAGGTCGGCAGTTCAAGCTCACCAGCTGCTCCTAGAAAACCCTATACAGGGTCGCTATGAGTTGGAATTGACTCGACGGCACTTAACAACAACAACTAGGTAATAGAGGCGAGACTGAGAATAGGGTGAGGAAAGCTAAGCACCAAGGATGGCTCTCACTCGCAGGGGCCGACCCTGTACTTGTATGACCAAGAGAGGGAGTGCCACCTTAAATAAGGTGCTGAGTCCTGGTGTAGTCCAACATACAGCACTGGACTGTTAATTGCAAGGTTGGCAGTTCAAACCCATCAGCCACTCTTGGAAATGCTATATAGGATCACTATGAGTCAGAACTGACTCCACAGCACCCAACAACAACAACAGCCCTGGCCCTGGAAGCATCATGGCTTGTAGGATAAGCACTGGACTGCTAACCACAAGATCAGTGGTTGGATCCCACCATCTGTTCTATGAGAAAAAGATGAGGCTTTCTGTTCCCGCAAAGATTTACAGCCTCATAACATAGTCCACAAAGACAGTGTTCTACATCCTACTGTGGTGAGTAGCATCTGGGATCATGAAGGCTCATGAGTGGCCATATAAGGTGCAGTTATTGGTCTCTCCATGTGAGGAAGAAAGAAAGGTGATGCAAATTGAAGATGCTTGGAATCACTTATTCCAGTAAACTAATGGAGCATGTGAACATCGGTCTCCGTGACTCTGAGACCAAAAGAACTAGATGGTGCCCAGGTACCACCACCAACTGCTCTGAAAGGGATCCCATTAGGTGTCCTAGACAGAGTGGAAGAAAATGTGGAACAAAACTCAAAATTATTTACTACTACTAATAATGAAAAAATACCGAGTTTATAGGTCAGAAAGAGAATGGAGGAATCTGAGATTATGGCCCTCAATCACCCATCTAGAAAGGAACTCACCCTCATGGCCCAATTTCCAACAAAACAGTAAACTTATAGTCTCAGAAACCCTTTACAGGATCACTATGAGTCAGAAATGACTCCAAAGCACCTAACAACAACAAAGCCTTGAGCTGGTTAGAGATGTTCAGTAACCAGTTTCTTGACTTCATGGCAAAAGAACAGCATATTAATGATTTGAATAAACACTCTAGTCATCTTTCATTAACCCTGAAGATGTCAATTAATCCAACACAAACCAAGGACTTACTATATGTCAGGTATTGGGAACATTAAGGTGAAGTCAGTTGTGTTTGCTGCCTTTAAAGATTTCACCATCAGAAAGAGTGCTTCTCACATTAGAAAATACAGGTGTCAGAGTCCCACTTAAGACCAATTAAATAATTATCTGTAGGATAGGACCCAGACCTTAATATTTTTTAAAAGCTCCACAGCTGATTTCCAATGTGTAGCCAGGGTTACAGACCACTGATTTCAAGAGCTTCCCAAGCCTCTCACTCCTATTTATTCCTGCCTCTCTTTGCTAATTCACCTCACTGGGCTTAGCCTTCCAGAAAATGGCCCAAATCCTAGACTAGAGGAGGGGAGGAGTCATAGTTCCACCCATAAGGGGCAACACCCTGACTATTAGAGCACTTGTAAAGGCCCCTGGTCAGCCAGGCCTTTCAGGGCTTCAGCTCACAGCCCCCATGAGACCTGGAGCCACTAATAAAGCTACACAAACCACAATGCAAGGGCTTAGAGAAGAGTATAAGCCCCAATGTACTGCAGAGGGGACAGATAATTACTGAGTGCCCACAGTGGGACAGACACTGTCACCATCTCAACAATGCCATGAAGTCAGGGGTTAGCCTCATTCCACATATGAAGCAGCAGATCCTTGACCATCTCTTTCAGGGGTTGCATCATCACACACCATTGGATTGCATTGTTTGGGTGATGATAAAATAGAAAACTATTTCTACTAATGTTATCAATTTGCACAGCCTCAATCATAGCATTTAAAAAAAAATGAGATCATCATAACGATCATGTGGGTATTTGGACCCCACATTGAGAAACAGTATTTTCTTTGAATTTAGTCAACTGATTGCTACATGAATGTGAGAGGTGCCCCTCTCTCT